CAGTCCTTCAAAAGTTACTTAAGGTGGATACTTTTATCTAAAAAGCACTGTATAATTCCCTTTATAATATTATTTTTTGCTGATGCAGAAATGGTTGCTACTTTGTAATTCACTTGCTTTTTTTAATTTCAAAAATAATAAAAAAAAACTATGCCATTAAATTTATTAATGGCTTCTTTATTTGATCACATAAATAAATAGGTAATAAGTAAATGTAGCTAAAATTTTTATTATGAAATAATTAGTCTAAAACAAGGATTACATTAAGATAATGCCAATTTCAATAAGAAATTGTCTTAAAATAAAGTTCTTGTTTCTATTTCGGTTTCGGCCGAAACTAAGAAAGGAGCCAAAGTTCAGTTTCTGTTATAAATCCCTGACAAGCCAGGTAGTTAAACGAGGAGAGAAAAACCTAAAAGTGGCGGTGGAGCTGAGGACAAAGCATCTGCCTTCCATGCAAATAGCCCGGATTTGAATCTGGACTAGAAGTTAATTTTTTTATGTTTATTTTATTTTATAAATTAATCAAATTCATAAATTATTTTAAAATTAGTTATTTTGTCTTAACTTAAAATAATTTTTAAATTTGTAGATTTTCGGTAGCGTGCCGTAGAAAAAATATAGTGTATAACTCAAGTGGATTTTCATATCCAGTCTTGTTGTACAAACTACTATTCCATGATTTCCAAAATGTAGCAAATTTTTGTGATGAAAATTTTTCAGTATTTTCACCTGATATAAATATACCGGGTGTTCAACTTCTAGCGTTACAGCTGGTGTTCTCGAATTGAGGACCACTACCTGCACAGACCAAATAAGTGCACCGAATTGCGGACCGTACTAAGGATTAGGGATTAAGGTGGTAATGAAGGTTCATTGCGTTAACTAGATTACTGAGAGATTTTTGTACCTGGAAATATGACACGAATTGAGGAACAAACTTCTCAATAATTGAAGTATCTTATCACTATACCCATTTATAATATTATTATTTGTCTTCTGATGGATTTGCAAAATTTGAAGAAAAGTACGAATTCAGATAAAAATAGATATTTATTGCACAATTTACAATTTATAATTAATTTTTTAAACATATACATATTATTTACATTTAATACACTTTATGATAATTTGATGCGAATTTTACAAAATCTATTCGTTTTATAGAACCATTTTTATATTCTAACATTTTTGAAGTTAACATATTTAATCTTCGTCTAACAATTTTGTTGTTACATTTAACAGACTCCTTAAGGCTGTTAATACGAATATAAGTATCTGTTTGAAAATTGTTCAAAACATTTACAAATAAATACAATGAAGGGTGCATTGAATAGAAATTTGAATTAAATCTAGAATGAAAGGACTCGCATGCATTGGTAGAATTTTCTGTAGTTACAACAGCTTCAGCCCAAATTGTTGGTGGAAATAAAGAATTTTCTTCAATATAATTCTTTACTAAATAGTCAGCTAAATTTACCACAGCTTTATGCATATGATCGGGCTGAAATTCAGCCAAATCCAAAGCAAAACATTCTCCAACTTCTTCGGGTTTTAAAAAAGACAATCCAAAAAGATACCTCATCCATTTTCCAGTTGCACTTTTTTCATCTTGGTATTCTTTAGCCAACCCCAAACTCTGTATTTTTCTGTACCAAGCTTGGCCAAGATGAAACCTACATCCAATGATCTTTGTGGTGGGCCATTGCGCAGAAATTGCTTTGTGAATAGCTAGTTCATAATCAGCTACAATAATTTTTGGAACAAATATTAAATTAGCATTACAACACTTTTCTTTAAGAATAACGAAAAGTCTTTCGTATGTTAAACGAAGTTTATTCGGTAATAAACAAAAAGCTACTGGTATATAATGGCCGTTTTCTACGATATGAAGTGTGAACAACTGTAAAAAATGTTTCGTACAATATCGAAATGTTCCATCAAGATACACTTTGTCACTACTACACAAAAATTTTAAATTAGTATAGCACGAAAATACTACAATATTGTTAATATTATCAGTGGCCAAGAGAAATGGTTCATTTTTAATTGTTGTCAAATTTAATGTTGGTAAAATATCGAAAACATCTGATACATTGCTTGGTAAACGTGCTTGGACTTGACGTCTTTTGTAATACATATTATTTCTTATGTATGTAATGTCTTTTCTTGTCAAAGCGTCCATTGTATCACTGTTTTCCCTTAAAACAGAGTGTATGATTTTCGATGGCCGTTCTGTGATATCTTCTACAGCTTTCCGTTTGCTTGCTACACTCAAAAGTTGTCTATTTAATTTCTTTATGTCATTTTCATGATTGTGCACTGTTTCTTTTCGAGAAATTATATTATCTGAACCTAGCGTAAATACTTTTGCGTTACATTTACTTACAGTACAAGTCCAAAACTTTTCACCACTTTTAAGAACCTTTTTTTCATAATCATCCCACACAAGTAACGACTTTCCCTTTTCACTTAAGATCATTTTAATTTCACTCATTTTTACAAGACTGCTCAAAATAAACTAAACACAAAACACTCACTTCAAATATATATTAGAATTTCGAAAGTAAAGTAATAAAATGCTCGTTAACGCAATGAATCATCATTACAACCTTAATCCCTAATCCGCAATTCGGTGCACTTACTATAATTATTTCTCAGAAGCCTGGTCCTCAATTCGTGTCATATTTTCAGGTACAAAAATAAACCCTTCTTAATATTTTCATTTTGGTTCTCAATTCGTGTCTGCCCGTTACAGCTATATACCGCTTTTTATTAAAAAAAATGTTTCAGACGAAAGTTTTATAGTTTTGTGGTGTCACGTTATGCGTGATTTTATAAAGAAATGTCACGATTTACGTGTTTTAAATAATTGTGGGACTATCTATGTCCCGGGGGTTACATAACAAAATATATGAATTTGGGACTCAATTACATTAACACTATTTAGCCTTAAACTTGGCTTCGTATCCCTTAACTGTATAAGGGTTCTACTCTTGATGTTAGAACCTGACACGTCTCTGTAAAAGGGCTGAAGGAAACAGTTTTCTCAAAACAAATATAATATTAAAATTACAACGATTATACAAAATATGTCTTAACTCGACATACACAAATACGGGCTCAATTTAATAATAAGTAATAATAAGTACACAATACATAAAACGTAGACTTACCAACTCATCAATATTTGGGGCACACGTCACAACTCTTGCCCGACTATTAAAACGCAATTTTTCGACATACAAAATAGACTTTTAAATTAGACTATGAAGGTCTAAGCTGGAGCTGCTACAGGGAGTCTCCTACAAGGGGGACCTCCTATGGGAAGGATCCGTTCCCTGTGGAAAAAAGCCTCGTGCATCCCCTCGACATTACCTTTATAACTTTCTCATAGTTTATTGTTATTAAAACTAATGTTTAATAATTATTAAATAACCAACCTTGCACATTATTGCTATTTAAAACAAATTGTTGACATAATTAAACAAAGTTTTATGTACAGGATGTTATTTAAATAATGAATTAAAATTAGGAAAAATATAAATTTATACGAATCGTGACAGTGGGGAAAAACTTTTGGCTAAAATCGTTTTTTATAGCTAACCATAATATCCAACTTTTTTTTCGCACAACATTTTCAAGTAACTGTTGCTCAAAAAGTAAAAGTCCAATAAAAAAAATATCTCCCTCAAAAGTTTCTTATTTTTTATGTACTTTAAGAATATACAGGGTGGCTCACGCTCAACGGGACGGAGCTTTATGGGAAAACGACCAAAGATATAAAAAATTCGTTTGGGAGGAATACGTAGGTTACAGACGGCTACAATTTAAAATTTGTTAGATGTATACAGGATGTCCCACATAAGAAAAAAAAATTAGTTCATTAAAAATTATTCAAACAAGAGTAAACAATTTCTGGGATTTTTTTTCCTTAAAAATTCAAATAAATCGAAAACTAATAATAATAGTAATAGGGAACCTTTAGTTAACTGACATTATTTTTGATGTAGTTTTTAATTCTAAAATAAAAAACAGGGTGTTCCATTAAAAATAATATAACTTTGTATATTTTCCCTTATGTGGGACATCCTGTATACATCTAACAAATTTTAAATTGTAGCCGTCTGTAACCTACGTATTCCTCCCAAACGAATTTTTTATATCTTTGGTCGTTTTCCCATAAAGCTCCGTCCCGTTGAGCGTGAGCCACCCTGTATAAGAAAAAAATGGGATTCCCATTTAAAAAAACAAAGTCCACCTCGATATGGCCATATTATGGTCAGCTACAAAAAAATTAATTTAGCCAAAATGTTTCCCCCAAAAAATTATAGAACTTTTGTCTGAAACTTTTTTTTCTAAAATTCATATTTTCGGCGGTATTTAACTGTAACACTTTAATTTGAACAGCCGGTATATTATATACGATATATTATCCATACTTATAGATTAGCCAGAATTTTTTACTTAACTTTAATAAACCTCTTACTACTAGAACTATTACATATTATATTAGATGAGTAGGGCTAGGGCTTTAGCCCCCCTAGATCTGATTACGTAACTTCGCCCATGCATCTCCAGTTTTAATGTTTACTTGCAGAGGAAATTAAAAATGCCCTTTGACACCTGCTGAATATATCTAGATAATTTACATGAAATTGAATGTTTAAATCCGGATTAGAATTTCGATAAATACCAATATATTTTAAACGAGGGCTCTCGAAAATATTCAAAAACGGGAATTTCAAGGAAACAAACATACGAAAATTTAGTGACTTCGTCACATCACCTAATAAAAATAAATATATTTAAAATACGTAATTTTATTTATTAAAAAAAAAATTATCTGGTAAGAAGATGGTCGAAGGTCGACCTTACTTCGTATGTTAGACTAGCGTGGTTGGACCGAAAACATCAAACTCTACAATGCGTCTACTTGCTCATAAATGTTCTTTATTTTGTTTCAATGCATAATACTAATTTCCTATTAGTCAACTTACCTGCCAACATTATCATGACTTTTTTCTTTTAATTCCATTAAAATCAAATCGAACTCACTCTCAGACAGAGAGAGCTCAACCAAAAAAATAAAAGCTTAACAGTTAAAACAGTGGGAAACGAAATTAAAACCATATTTTTTTCGATTTTTATAAGAAATTTATTATATTTAATTAACAGAAACTCATAACACATCTCGTAAAAATAGTGAAAACTATGAAACACGACATATAACTGTTTACCTACGATTCATACATTTGACATTCATTCATCCATCCGTTCATCCAAAAGCTTTCAGAGCGTCGATCAGTCCCATGTTTGGAAGTTTTATAAATTTCGAATCTCCCGTCGAAAAATGAAAAATTGCTACATAGATGCCAAACCGCAATTTTTACGAATCTTTCTCGGAAAAAAGAGAAAAACTTCCCGTCTTGAAGGCGGCAGCACTACAAAAAATCCGCAACCCTCGACGAAAGTACATCACGTTATTTGTTTGGTATTTACACTAGAATGTTTTGTATAAATTGTAAACGATAAAGAAGCGGCGCAGAGTTTAATTCTTTTCTTCCTTCTTCTGTTTCTCATCTGACTGCTGTTTGTCGTCGGGTTGTTGTTGTTGTTGTTGTTGATCCGTCTGCTGGCCACTGCCGCTACTGCTTTCCCTTTCCGCCGCCATCTGTAATTAACGAAATCGCATTAAAATTATAGGAAATTATCCTCTTTCTTATATTTTTATAATATTAATCCACTGTCAAAATTGCATTTTCACAATTACTAAAATAAACAAACTCATTTATATTTATGTTGAATCTTATTTTTAAAAGTTACAACAATTCTCTTTTTACTTAAATTATATATAATTTTAAATAAATTATCTATTTGATAAAGCTATAGTTTATAATTAACTTGCTTCTTAAAAAATAAACAAAGAAAATTATTGGCGCCCTTTTCTTTCCTGACAACTATTTTCCCCAAAAGTGTCTATTAGAAAAGCCGAATTCAAGACTAAGAAAACCATATGGTCAATGTGTTCATTTCTTTTTTACTTTCCTATCTGTATACAGATATAAGGAAAGTATAGGAATCATGATTTTTTTCGACCTCGAGTTTTCGACGGATTTTTACGTTTTGAGGTCCCCTGAATCCGTTTTGACTATTTTCGCGATGATGTCTGTCTGTCTGTGTGTGTGTCTCTGTGTGTGTGTCTGTATAACGCATAACTCATGAACCGATACACAGAAAAACACCAAATTTTAAACTTAAGCTTTGTTCTAGCGTCCAATGAGCTGATTAGATTTTGGGCAGAGTCGGAACATCTGGGGGGGGGTACTTTATAGGTGGTCATTTTTATATTTTATGGAATATATCTGTTATTTACGTTTGGAGAAGAAAATTCTTCAAATAAAAGTTACTTCTAATATAATTATCTATAATTTTTGTTTGATGCAAAATTTTCCTAAAATGGTCCGTATTCGAGAAATTTGACAAAATGTAAAAAAAATAATTTTTTATAAAAATTGTTCAAATAAAAGTTGTTTGTAATATAATTCTTTATAATTTTTATTCTATACATAATTTCTCTAAAATGGACCGTATTCGAGATATTTGAGAAAATGTGTAAATTTCGAATTTTGAAGAAAACTCAAAAACGGATAAAGGAAAAAACATTAAATTTTAAACTTAAGTTTTATTTCGACCTGAGGTGAACTGATTAGGGTTTGGACAGAGTCGGAACATTCGGGGGGGGGGGGGGGTACTTTATTGGTGGTCATTTTTATATTTTATGGAATATATTCGTTATTTACGTTTGGGGAAGAAAATTCTTCAAATAAAAGTTACTTACAATATTATTATCTATAATTTTTGTTTTATGTCAAATTTTCCTGAAATGGTCCGTATTCGAGAAATTTGACAAAATGTGCAAAATTCTGTTTTTTAAGAAAATTGTTAAACTAAAAGTTGTTTGCGATATCGATCTTTATAATTTTTGTTTTTAAATGACTTTTCTAAAATGGACCGTAATGGAAAAATTGGAGGAAAAGTGTTAAATTTAAATTTTTCAGTATTTTCGTTTTCAATGAATATCTATAGAAATATGTTTGGAGGTGGATGTATGTGGAAAATGTATATATTTAGTTTATCCTCTAAACATTTTTAGAGATGCTGCAATAGGTTAACTAGATAGGAAAGTCATGTGTTGGACACATCAGATTTTTGATTTGATTAAAAGTAAGTAATGGTTGGTATAAAATATCCAAGAGCTAGTCAAAATTTATTATAAGTGTTTTCAAAATAAACGAACTTTATTGCAAATTAACGCAGACCCATTACCAAAGCTATAAAAAATAATTTCGACATAAAAATTTATATAGATAAACTGTCACTAACCTTTTTGTACGCCATTTCAAATAACTTCAACGACGACTGTTGCAACGTACTCGTCGCTTTACGTATTTCTTCCGGATCGGTCTCGTCTTTCTTCGCCAATAAATCCTTAACTTTGGTAATTTCCTCCTTCAATTTGTTGCACTCCTCTTGCGGCAATTGCGACTTGTACTCCTCCATTTTCGTTTCCGTATCGTGAATTATACCTGAAAAAATGTTTATAAAGTTTGACTCGCATTCGTCGACTGGTTTGTCCCTATATTTACCTTCAGCCTGGTTAACAGCTTCCACTCTGTCCTTCTTGACCTTGTCCTGTTTGGCATACTGTTCGGCGTTCTTGACCATGTTTTCGATTTCGTCCTTGCTGAGCCCGCCGGAAGATTGGATTACGATTTGTTGTTCCTTGCCTGTACCCTTGTCCCTGGCCGAGACGTGGACGATGCCGTTGGCGTCGATGTCGAAGGTGACTTCGACTTGGGGTACGCCTCTTGGTGCTGGAGGGATGCCGACCAAAGAAAATTGGCCCAAAAGTTTGTTGTCGCCGGCCATTTCGCGCTCACCTTGATGGACTTTGATTTCGACTTGGGTTTGACCGTCTGCGGCGGTAGAGAAGACCTGACTCTTCTTGGTTGGGATTGTGGTGTTTCTATTGATTAACCTGGTGAAAACACCTCCTAGGGTCTCGATACCTAAAGATAGTGGAGTGACATCGAGGAGAAGGACGTCAGTAACGTCGCCAGCTAGTACACCACCCTGTACGGCGGCACCAACGGCAACTGCTTCATCTGGGTTGACTGATCTACTGGGTTGTTTACCGAATATATCCTGTACGGTGCTTTGTACTTTCGGCATCCTGGTCATACCGCCGACCAATATAACTTCGCCTACATCACTCTTGGACACTTCAGCGTCCTTTAAAGCTTTTTGACAGGGCTGGATCGTCCTCTTAATTAGATCCCCGACGAGACTCTCGAACTTCGATCGCGACAACTTGAGATTCATGTGCTTGGGACCGGAAGCGTCCATCGTTAAATATGGTAGATTAATGTCGGTTTGAACGGAAGACGACAACTCAATTTTAGCCTTTTCGGCAGCTTCCTTCAGCCGCTGCATAGCCATAGGGTCTTTAGTGATGTCGATGCCCTGCTCCTTTTTGAATTCCGACACCAAGTGGTGGACGAGAATGTTGTCGAAGTCTTCGCCGCCAAGGAACGTATCTCCGTTGGTAGATTTCACTTCAAACACTCCTTTTTGAATTTCCAAGATGGATATATCGAAAGTACCACCACCCAAGTCATAAACCGCGATACTGAAAAGTATAAAATTAAAATTCAACGCTATCAATAGTATACTATTTTAACTTACACTTTATCTTCAGTTTTATCCATTCCGTAAGCCAAAGCAGCCGCGGTTGGTTCGTTGATGACCCTCAATACGTTCAGACCCGAAATCTGACCAGCATCTTTGGTGGCCTGACGTTGGGAATCGTTGAAGTAAGCCGGAACGGTGATAACGGCGTTCTTGACTTTGGTGTTCAAGTAAGCCTCGGCGGTTTCCTTCATTTTGACCAAAACGAACGCTCCTACCTGGCTGGGGGAATACATTTTGCCGTCGCTGGCCTGAATCCAAGCGTCGCCATTCGAAGCCCTCACGATTTTGTATGAAAGTGTTTTCCTGTAAAGTAGACGTTTCGGTCACAGATTATTTTCAAAAACGTTCTTCAAACAATTTTTAATCGACTAAAAAGTATCCTTTGTATAATCAAAGGAACATTTGATTAATAACGATGATATCATAAAGCAATACTATAATATAATCGTATCGGTAACTATCCAAAAACCCCTTTTCGATGCTTCTGCAGAGTCAACTGAATTTGTTAGAAACCATGCACTGAATAGACATTTTTTAATTCAACATTTTAATATATCAGTAACTGCCATGGGAACCACAACACGTGGCTTAAAATAAACAATTTAATTTTTATGTATTTGCATTAATTTATTGTTTTTAATATTTTTAAATAAAATAAGTTATTATTCGAATTAAAACATGTTTTTAATCGCAACCAACTCAACAGTATCCTAATGTGTCGGTGCTAGGTATTTATTTAGTGCCTTTTTAATAAATTTGCAGTAATTCAGTTTCGAACTATAGAATGGAGCTGGTATCTAATTTGATATTAGGAGAAAAAAATGTTAAAGCACACAATAGTATATTACACACCGAGGTGGGAAGAGTTTCATTCCTGTCGTGAGGTTAGCTATGATCTCGAGACAGGAATGAAACTTCCTACCGAGGTTTGTTTTTACAACCATCATATTTCGATCAAAGTTAATAAATCTCTGTTTCGTTCTGAACATACCTAAAATATTACATTTAACGACAAATTACCAAGCGCGCGGTTTTCTCAGAATAATCAAGTAAATATATTGTTACTGTGATTACGGGATAAACAACTGTCACCAATATAAATAAATGTCAGATAAAGCCGGATATTAAATTCGGGAATAATAAATATCAATAAGTAGTTTGTTGTATTTTAGTTCATTGTTGTTTTTTATTGTTTGCCATTAAATAGGTATTATAAAATTTGTCAAAAAATGTGTTATTTTTTTTAAATATAAAAAATATTCATCTAGAATAGATGAAATGAAGGCGGGAAGTAGAGGTGTGTAATGTGTAAAGACCGGACAATTTAATTTATTCTTATCAGCGAAGTAACGGTAAGAGCGGACCTTCGATTTGAATAATACATTCTGAATAAAACAAGTTATTTACTGAACTGGTCGACACAGTAGATAAGATATTGGATTTTTATCGCCCGGGCGTAACATTTGGGGCGGGCTTATTATTACATTTACATTGCAATAATTATTTTATTAAATTTTAGTTCAAATTTGGTTGGATATTATTATATAATTACAAATGATATTATTATTTATTTTTTTATTGTGTTGTGGGATAATGTTGTTGGCTTTTTCTGTTAATATATTATTGACTAATAAATATATCAACGAGGATACACCATCATTAGTTTTATGTTTAGAGTGTTCCAATATACACTCTTTATCCTAAAGTAGCAAATATACAATTATATACAATATATACAATACAAATTAATATCAATCTTCTTCATTTGAAAAATATGTTTGTATGACTGCATATTTTTCTAAATTGTCTTCAGTGAAATTACTTCTTTTAGAAGTCAATAAATCTTTAAACCTAGAAAACGATCGTTCTACGTCACAACTCGTTACAGGAGCAAATGAAAAATGTGGAACAAAATCACAATATTTTAAAGCAGTTTCATAATCGTTAAAATTGTTCAGGGAGATTTGTTTCAGAGTCTGTAAATTTGGATTTCTTTTAATAACACAATCTATTTTATGGTTAAATTTATCTTGTAAGGGCCACTTTACGTTTTTTAAGTGTAACAATGTCGATTCAAATTTTTCCATAGCAACCGATAATTGTAAGTTAAGGGTTTCAAGGAATTTTATAGTTTCTGGGAGACACGAAAAATAAGTCGCAAGAAAATTTAACTCCGACTGCAAAGTTGTTTTTGTTATTAAACCTTTACACTGAGTGATAGAGAGAGCGTCCTCTGATAAGTTGGAAATAAATACTTTTAGTCTGTCGAAATGCTCCGAAAAAAAGAACACAGCCTGTAACCAAGTTCCCCATCGTGTAATAACTGGTTGTGGAGGTAGGGGGATATTCGGACATATTTCTTTATATAAAGAAACTCGGGACGGTGCTTTTAACAAATTTTTTTTAAAACAGCTAATCAACGAATTAATGTCTGGAAAGCTGTCACGGATAAACTCACAAACTCGGTGTAACGCGTGAGCAAGGCAAGTTACATGCAGCATGTTTGGAAAATGTTCTTGTAATAGTTTCCCTGTTTTCAACATTACACTTGCCGCGTCTGAAATAAACAATAAAACTTTTGAAACGTCATTATCAATTACATTGTTCAATCCACGTTTCACTATTTCATAAATCATTTCAGCGTTCACAGTTTCACGAAACACACTAGAAACTAAATACTGTTGTGAAGTATTTTCAGCACTTAATAATCCTACAACAACATTAACAACACATCTACCCTTTATGTCAGTCGTTTCATCTGCACTAACCCAAATATATTTGCTGGAAATTTTCGTTTTTATTGCCGTCATTGCTTTATCGTACTGATTTTGAATATAATGTTTTCTAATTGTGGATTCATCCGGTATTTTACGTTTAGTATATTTACAAAGAAAATTTTTGAAAATTGTATTATTTAATTTTGTTAATGGAATATTTGCAGAAACAAATGCGTTGCATAAATCTTCATAAAAGATTTTGTCTGGACATCCCTCTAAAGATTGCATGTGTTTTTGTGTTTTCACATGTTGTGTCATACTTGACTTTCCATTAAAAACTAACACCTGATCACAATTGCGGCAGTATAATTTGTTGTCATTAAAACGACGAAAACAATCAAAGTCCGATAATAAATTTTCCATATTTACGTTTCCAGTTTCTATCACTTTTCCCTTTGAACTAAACAAATATACTCATTGGAAAAATCTAGTGATATTTTTACAAGACACTTTCTTCTCAAATCTCCTGTTTATCGACTCTTTGTTATCTTTTTACATTTTTTCAACCAACAGATACCTATATAGAGTGAGCAATTGAATTAATACATACATTACAGAAATTTAACAGACATTTATTTTATTGTCTCATCGTGTATAAGTACCATAATATCCACAGGAAATAAAAACATAAATGTTTTGTTACAAAAAATCGGTATGTACGGTATCGATAAAAGCCAAAATATTCATAAATATAATATAAGGATTGACTTTATTTGAATAAAAATATCACCGGCAACTAACCGACAATGGATCGAGAAAGTATAAGACAACATATGATGGGCCTATTTGACATTCATTTTAGGCCCTCTCTACAGCGTCTTAGTCCAAACGCTCGTAGAGTCCTAATATTTGGCCCCGATGCAATTTCTCCAACAATGAATCGGGACCAGCTAAGGCTAGAAATTTCCAATTTTCTGGAGGAAATAACAAATTCGGGGGAGGCAGCTGGGGTCCTCGATCCTCATTTTAGGCAGGAGAGTAGTGTACCACGCCAAAATATTGAGGAATAGATATTTTGTAATTATATAAGAGATAATAATAAAAAAAATATCATACAGAATATCGTTTACATTACTACACCTTAAACTCGCTTATGAAAAGTTTAACATCTTCATCAAAAAAGTTATTTTTTTTTAAGGAAAATTTCTCAGGCCACAAATTAAAGGATCTGAGGTTACTAAAAACTTTTGTAAAATATCCTACATATCCTCGGCGTTGGTGAGAAGAAAACATTAAATTTGTTTAATGAAAATGATTCAAAAGACAAAGAATATAGGTACATGATAAAAAAAAATCTCACTTTTTTGTATTAGTTTTAATGTCTATGTATATATCAGTACACTTTTTTTATCTTGTTTTAATAAAAAAAAGAGGTTTGTCCTGATAGTATTAGAATCTGCCGCACTGTCTGCCGTCTTAAATAGCGAACCCAGAATGAGACGCCTATGTGATTAAAACCAATTATTTGAACGCGATTAAAATGTCCGGTCTTTAGTAATGTGACACTTCCCAACCTTCAATGACGTTAGTAATGACAACATTACATATATGGTTGTAAATAAATATTATTACATGGGCAGGCTTAAAGGGTAAAGGCCAAATATTTTTACCCAGGAGGTCCACAAGTAAAGGGACCAACAATCTTAAAGCTGTTTGTCAAAAGACTAAATTAGGTACTAAATTTAGAACTAAATTAAGTTATTAAGTACTAACTTTAGAACTTAAATTAAATTTTTCTGTATAACGATACCAATTTTTAATACTAAATTAAGGTTTATATTACCCTACAAAAGTTACGTTACGCTAACGCGAGATGGAGTCAGCATAGTAGAAATGCAGGGGCGGTTTCTCCATTGGTTTAATTTTAATAATTTTATTGTTTTCATATGTATTATCTATTTTTGGGTACGCCACTTCGCTCTGGCTAATCGCGTTTCCGTGACGCTCTTTTATAAGTGAGCCCAACGGAGTAAGAAGTGTTCTCGAAAATCTTTACCTAAAAAGAGATGTCACACGTTAACACGCGAAACAAATATAAAATCAGTTAAATCAGCTTAATTTGCGCAACGCAGACAGTGACGTCACAAAGTAGGGCGGGGGCATACGAACTTTTCAATCATTGATATAAAATAAGAGGAGATGCTATGATGATACTAAAAGTGTCCGCAAAGCTTTACGTCATATGTCAAACTCGAGCAAGTGGAGTTAGTCAGTTTTAGTAAGAATAAATACGATTTTTTTTTTAAATAGCATAACTAAAATTATATAAAAACATTTTCATTCAGTCAATCTTCAAATATAAAATTATTAACGTCAAATTAATCAAAATACGACTCAAAGTGCGTTCACTTGTCATATCGCAAAATAGTGTTTATATCCTCTCTACATTATTTTATCTTAATTTTTGCAATCAAGCTGTAAAACTCTAAAATTCACCATAAGACTATTTTAATTGTTTATTTAAAAACCCTGTTTAAATAAAACTGAGAATTTAATAAATCGGAAGTATGTGTGTCAATTGAATGA